GTTATAAATGCACGACGATTTGCGAAATAAATGTCTACTCATGAAAACACACACTGAGCACTGACACGACGATCAACAAACCATGCTCCCTGAGGCTTTGACGAGTCATCTGTTGCTGTATATTCTCACTAGATGGAAAGCTCTTCTCCACACAATGCTAGAGCGAAAAGTAAACTTTATTGACGCGGATAGTTTATACACGTCAGATATACTTCAGCTGTTCGGATATCTTCTAATTAGATGTAGGGGTGGATGGCGATATCATCTTCTCTGTACATTCTTTCCAATAGAATGTTTTATGAACTAGCATCAATCATCATTAACTTTTATAATTTGAAATTTTAAAAATAGCAACAATCATCATCTCATGTCCATTACAGATAGTAATGTTGTTCGCTTCGATGCACTCATAAACACAACCGATCCCCTATAACATAAAATGGTTTAGTCTAATCTAGAAACCAACCCGCGAGCCTCGCGTCGATCACTTTACCACACTGCTTTCTGGTGATGTGTGCTCTGACTTGCGTTTATATAGAAAGTGTTTACTACGTAATACTAGTATTGTCGTGTGAGAAAGTATTTATAGGTAGAATGTGAGTTGACATACCCACTCGGGAAAATCTCTACTCATAATTCAACCAGGGGTTAGAGAAATATCTGGCTTGCAGCGGTTGCAGGGATGCAGCTTCTAGATGGTCTCTTCATTTCTCCTCCCATTCAGTGAAACTCCTTAAATATGTAAACATGTGTATCACGTATACACGTATTACATGGCATAGCCTTCACTGACCTTGAGTAATATAATTTTAATACAATATACATTATTTCCATTTAAATGAAATATATCGTATGGTACTTGTTCAGCCGATTGTCCCGGAGATATCGCAATTATTTAACAATTATTTTGACTCATTTTAAAGATTCAATCCCCAAACGGCCTAATATTCTGGATGACATTACCAGGAATTATATACGGAAATGTGCGGAAGAGTTGACCATCCTATTAACGTTAATTTTAGAACAAATCTTTGCAGTTGAGTGTTTTCCTTCTGTTTTTAAGAAATCAAATTTTATACCTTTTTTTTAACTCAGGTGATAGAAACAATGTATATATTCATCGGTGTACAGTCACCAGATGAAGCCAAGAACCTTCTATCATGGAGCTAGAAAGCTCCATGCTTCTATAGACCCAAACGCCGCGGAACCACGGCTAATTAAGTTATTGTCTGAAGAAACACTTACGTCACTGATGGAAATAAAAAAAATCCAGAATCAATGCCGATTTCACAATTTTTATTCACGTGGTATGAGGTCAGCAGGCGTGATCACATGTCAAAAAGTGGAAATGAAAATTAATTTTGAAATATTATTTGTTTGAAGAATACCGGGGTGCTCTATGTATTCAATTTTAAACACATAACATGTTTTGCCCGTTGAGATAATATGAGCTGGTACATTATATATTTTGAATTTATTAATTTGTGTTTAGCAGTCAAACCATGAGATAAAATATTTATTTTTTGTATTTTGTTTAACTTTAAGTCAAACAAACGGTAAAACTAACAAAATAACTACCATGTAAGAACTGAGCTACTTATGTAATTCAATAATTGGCTCAATAAATAGTAAAGAGATCGATTGCTACAAAGTTGAGATGACGGAACAGACATTGGTGTACGAGTACAATCGACTAGTATTAGATATAGATGTAAATAATTTCTTAGCAATCAAGGCACATACGATTCGATATATAAACAGTCAACTGTTACAGTGTCTATATCTATATCCTTCAAAAGAGTCGTGAAGCTGTGAACACCATTTTTTGCATCTCAGTTCGGACCAGAATTGTTTTAACCTGGTGACTCCCTGTCAATATGAATATGATAAAGTTTTCGTTTACACGTAACTTATTGTTTCTCAATACATGTATATACATGTAGTTGCGGCAAGTTTTAAAACTTCTTTTTATATTTAATAGCAGCTAACTAACGAGTTAACATATTTCCAAAGACGGGTTCTACAAAGTCGCGTTGGCACCCAGCAATGGTCAGAATGGCGGAGACAGCGTACATGCCAATTAAGTTTGGAATTTGTAACTGCAGCAGACGAAATGCGGCAGCTACATTGTAACGTTTTATATTTTGGGGGATCGCCCAATAATGGTACAACAGTTTTGATTGACAAAAAAGCCTACTTCTACATAAATGTATGCAAGGTTATATGTAATTTCCGAAGACAACTAAACTTGACGACATAAGCCCAAATTGTGATAATTGCACAAGGGATTCCTTGTTCGATAATCGATATGCGGACTATATTACACACTCAATATTCGATGTGAAACATTTCCTATCGATATTAGTCTGAGAACCACCAGACTTCTGAGTTGTTTCCTGTAATGTAAGTCCTTCGTTTTTGAAATAAAAAAGGGTGGCCATTTCACTCACGTTACCATTGATAACATCGAACATTAAGTACTTCCTGGTTGCATCCTGCTATACTGTCTATGGTTGCATTGAACAGAAATCATAATAGCAGCATGTGACGGGATTTATTGTAGTGAAGGCAGTCAATAACTTAGTAGATGATAAACGGCACAATGTTTTATCATTCGTCGCGAATGCCCATATATTTCAAATTTTATGTTGTCGCCAAGTTACTTAGGATTGAAAGTGCCTTCACTTTATTTTATCAACGGCCATACAACTTTAAAAACGACCAGAAACACTACCTTGCGTGTTCAAATTGTAATCAGACAATAAGAGGACACTTTGTTTTGTTTTTTTGAAAAAAAAGGTTGATATCCTGACTCTACTTCCTTGCTCAATCTCATTTCAAGCTCAGAGACCGAACTAACACGTGACGCCTGAAATAAGTTCTCACGAAGCAGTACACAATCACATCGAAAAGGCGACCCGACACAAATTTCAGATATATTTGAACCCGGAGTTAAAATACACGGCAACGTCAACATTGATTCAGTACTGTTTTAGTGCCCTCTAGTGACCAAATGTTATTGGATATACTACTTTTGTTTTTTCCATCGAGTCGAAGTTCTGCAAATGCATAATTCATTCGCAGGTTTTTAATTTCGCTGATAGGTTAAATCCACGAGAGCTTCTAAATCAACAATAGAACTCATTGTTTCCCTGCCAATTTCGTGAACCCAGTGAAATTGCCCAAAACATCACAATTAAATGTTACTGAAAATGGCTGTTTTTACAATATGGTTCCGTTTATTTGCATTTATTTTGTATTATTATTTGATTTAAAAAACACACAGCAACTATGTTGGTCATCATGTTACGCTTACACAATAATTGTTTCGACATATGCACTTCTGTTTTCTGTATATCTAAGCTTTCAGAAGATGTATAGGTTGTCATAGTAGCATGCTTAGTAATTTTTTGACAATGCTCGAGTCAAAGATCAATCTTCAACACATCAAAGTAAATTACAACATACCGACCTTTGGATTGTACAAGGTATGTGTTTGTGATTATTTCATAGTCATTAGACGTTTAACAACCTGGGATATGTCATTTGGGAGATACCCTGTAATTTTTTAATCTAGTAGCAGTAAGAATACATTACGCAATAAAATGTTGGCGTTTATGGTTCTTATGGTTCAAGTTAGGCTTTCACCCACACTCTGTTAGCATGTGCTAAAGATCTGGACCAGGTGTTAAACATTGGGTCAAATTTAACCCGTACTCAGCGTGCTAATCGTTCATGCACGTTCTCTTAACACGGGCTATTAGGTATTTGACCTCTTAGCGCATGCAGTGTGAACTCCACTGCAATTGTGACGCTTTAAAATGTGTAATTAATAGTGCACTAATTGAGTGAATAAGTTACAAAGAACAAGTTTTTAAAATTCATTATTATTCATAATAAAATTAAAAATGCGGATGTTCACGGTAAATACAAGTAACGAATCAACTAGTTTTATCTGCAAAGTTCACAAAGAAAATAAAGTACTGCCAATTAACTTATCAGTTTTAATTTAATAATTTTCACTGATAAGTGAAATCTGCTAAATGAAATCATCATGAACATGAACAATCACAATGGAACTTATTGCTTTACTGGCAAACCTATAAATCAAAACACAGTGGATTTGTTCAAATAAGAAAATATTGAAATTAAAATCCTGTGAAAATTAATGCTTTTTCAGTACATATAAAATAATTTTAAAGATATACATGTAGTTTAATAAGATTCAGAATAATAAATACTGAAGAGGCACATGTACATTTCCATTAAATTATCGCATGAAGATTGAGAAGTCAACACAAAGGCCAAAGTAATTAAATTATATTTCTCCCACGTGAATAAAATTTGAATACATTGGCAGATTATATAGCACACAATTTTAAACTCCACATTACGATATACTTACTGTCATTAGAATAGAAAGGTAACAGTAGTAGTGCAGGCACTTATGTAATTAAGATAAATGTGCCTATGGTCACAAGAATTCGTATTTTAATGATCCAGCATACAAGAAATGCGATGTGTATGTTTGTACTGGCGATGCACTGCTAATGGAACAAATATGGTATTTGTTTTTTCACATATGTACACATTTTCATCCATAACAGATGGGGTTTCTTGTTCCTGTATGCATTAAAAGTCAAGGAAGTACCACAAGTAGAGAGCACTTTTTGTTTATGTTTTGGGTACTGCCCACCAGTTGTTGCATTCCTGTCCAGACTGATTTTGTTCAAAGACAAGTCATAACTGTCCACATATATGCAATTTATATTCCTAATTATGGCATACAAATAATGAATTGACCCGAACTTGACAAGTTGTTTACTAGACAAACAGCTAGATTTGAAGGGAAATGATCTCCACTGTTACCGTACTAGTACATTATAAACCATACACGTCGCCATAACGGTTATGTAATCACCATAAAAAAGCAACAACAAATTCATCCTGAAAGCTATTATTTTTATGTTATTTCACTGCACATTCAATATTTATTTATCATATTTCTAATTCATATTCAGTATAAAAATTAAGAGAAATATACAAATTCTATGCATATAACAGAGTAGTGCTATAAGTTATGGATCCAATTGATTAATTCCAAGTTCTGTTGTTGTGATGCAACTAAACATGCATCTATGTTGATTCCATAATAGAAATGTATAAAAGATGACAACCTTCATGCATTGTCCACTTTGACATGCGATATGCATAACATAATGTTACAATATTTTTTTCAATAGGCCAAACATCACTCTTTCAGTTCAGTTTTTAGTATCTCAGAGTGTCGTCAAGCCAAACGCAGGATTCTGGATTTGACAATCAATAATGGACTATATTACAAAATCAATATTTCATGTGAAGGATTTTTAATTAAAACCGACGCTTGGGTTACTGTATACCGGTACTCTTTACCTGTACAGTCATTAGATTTTTGGAATTTATGAGATTGACTATGTTATCTGTGGTTTGAGCAAACATTGAACATTACGTTACTTCGTAGATGAGATGAGATGTGTTTAGCATGCACTTAAAGCAAAATTCAAACAGCAATGCATGATGGGATTTATTGTAGTGTAGACGATAACCACTGCAACACACCAGATTTCATTACTATAACTCAAAAACTCTTTTAGTTTTGACTTTTTGGCAATGTCTTGTTAACTATACAATTTAATACAAAATTACAAATACACCATTTACCATTCACAAATGGTTGAATAAATGTACTTGTACTCATCATTGACAAACTATATCAGCCATCTCATTCTGGAAGTGCGCCCTCTATGGTTGATAACTTCAAGTCCACCATCTTTGGTGTTGTTTTTGATCTCTCAAACTTAGAGCTACAGAACACCACTGTGGCTTTCTATGCTGAGAATATTTTGTAATAAACTATTAAGGTGACCACCTTCCCATTCATTGCGACAGGTATCCCTTTGCATTTAATAATGTCACGGATTTAAAAACAAGAAATAAAACCAAATTTGAATTGGTCAAAATCATTTTTAAAGTTCATGGTTCCTTTCTGCTATCCCTGCTGTACAGTTCACTTTTATCGTGATAAAATATCCGAGCCTGACATCATTAAATTAGACTCTAAATCTGCAAATAATAAGAAAAGAAAGGACACTTAAAAAACTTAAAAAAAACTTAAAAGGCTTCAGAATCCAACCTCCCCCAAACAGTCTTAACATTTCAACCACCAAACTATTTTGCCAAAATTTTTCTGCATTTTTTTCTTATATTCTTTAAAATATTTTGGAAATGAACTCTAAAAAACACAATTTTCAATTTTTACTTTAAAATTTTGGCTATTTTTGTTCAAATCTTCTGAAGGTAAATGCAGACTATAAACAAGACTATTTTGTGAATTTGTGACGAAAAGAGGGAACTGATGGTGTAATGTCCTATAACAACATCCATGAATATTTGACTTGCACTCCGAGAGAATTCATGAAGTTTTAGTTTGGTGTTTTGGGACTATCACATGACGGTAATAGTAATAAATGCAAAATGGTAATCGTTTTGGTTTCTTCTTTGGTAGTACACATGTACTATTATTTTTTTTTATTTTCTACCACATCTGAATAGTATTCCAACAAAGCTGTCCAATTCAATGAGAATTACCAAAAAAACACAAATCAGACTTTTACTTGAACTACTGAATATCCCTGTAGATGCAGTTGATTTATAAAACATTCTTTCTTTGTGGCGTTATTTCAGTTTTTGTTGATTTACATAGAACTTACATATTATTCACAAGGCTGAGCATCATAACATCTATGAGCACTCACTCAGTACACATAAACTAGCTGTATCCCATGTGGTCCAGTTAATAATTGATAGACCTCAATCAGATTGTTCATCAATACATACCTTGTTCTCCAAAATCTAACTTTTTGACCGGTGTTGGGTCCTCCAACCCTTCCACATCTACTAACGTATCCGCTGCATGTTCCGTTGAATTCAACATGTTTAACGTCACTTCAGCTATCAAAAAAACACAGAGTAATTAAGCATTATATAGTAGGTACTCTCAGCTCAACAAATGCATCATCTTTATAATTTGAATAGTATAGTTGAATCCAACCAGCCAATCAATGAGCGCATTGATGTTTATTTCATTGGTTAATTGAAATTTCTTTGTTCAAATTAAATTGTGATATTTATTAATATTTATGAAGAAAAAGGGAATGGGTATGTTGTGTCGAGAATAGCATAGTACATCAATGTTTCGGTATGTTTGACTAGGACTGATATTAATATTGCTTAATTACGATTAATTATGATTAGGGTGATTGACAACAGACTATGAATACCCAGAGCTTATTAACCGTAAATTGCATATATGAGCAGTATACCAATGGCGGTGTTTAAATTACTAGTTCCCAGTAGTCAAAACACCATTAATGTCAACATTTTGCCTAAGCCAAGCCTAAAACTTCCCAGATAAATGATAAAATTTCATGATTATATTTATATTATATTGTGGTTTTCATGATAAATAGTCAATACTGTAATAAAAGTTGACAATAAAGATAAACAAGCAGCCTCTCGGCTGAGATAGCTCTGCTGTTAGCAATGCACATTTCAATTAAAGAACAGAAGATATCATTAGAAAATGAACAATATGTATAGTATCAAAACAATCAGACTTGCGGTTTTCAACAAGAAGTAGAAAATATCACTTTTTACCAAAAATTACAAAAATATTCATCAAAATTAGAGAATTACATTACAAAATGAACAAATCTGAGAGAGGTCCACATGTAGTACCTATATATGTAATATCAAAGCAATTGGACTTCGAAGTCGAAAATATCACTTTTTACCGAAAAATGACAAAAATATTCACCAAAATTAGAGAACTGAAGATATCATCATGAAATGAACAAATCTAAGAGAGGTCTACCCAAGGTACATATACATCAAGTATCAAAGCATTCAGGCTTGTAGTTTTCAAGAAGAAGTCGAAAAAGTAAAACATTGACACGGACGACGACGAACAATCACACATATGATAAGCTCCGCTCGACAAAGTCGACAGCGGAGCTAAACATGACATTGTGTTGTGAGAAAGCATAAAATATTTACTCCATTGAATACGCACATCTTGCGGTGCCATATTGTATGGGTAGGAAGCTGTGTCTACTGTACTCTTACCTGATGACTTTGGTTTTTTCATTGGTGGTTCATCATCTGTTGTACTGGTGTCACTTTGAAGACGTTTTCCCACTGACTGTGCTGCTACTGTTGTGACTGGAGTACTTTTCGATGGTGATTTTTTGGATTTAGCTTCTTCATAAGCCTTGTTTTTGAGTGCAGCTTTAATCTGCGCGCTATAATGCAAAGGATGGAAATACTATTACATATTCTCATCATAGAGTTATGAATGAATGAAAATTACTCACCTAACTAGAACATCTAATAGAAGAGTGGTATATGGTGAAAACTCCAAATTTTGCTTTTCTCCCCAAATTTTATCACATAATCATTATTTTCTAAATTTATTTGCTTCTGAAATGTCAACAGATCACATAATTTGGTTCCCCGAAATTTCGTCCATCTTAGATTTTTCTTTTTGGAATAATGGTTCTTCACTAATTGACATTTAAATAATGAGAACATTCAGTATCATGAAAGAATTAAAACATGACTTGCAAACAACCATCCAAATCATAAACTTACACTCAAAAATAATTCTTTTTTCAAGGTTCTAACAACATTGCTTATCAGTATGGTTTGCTATGAAATATATGTCAACTTCAAATTAGTGTTATCGTGAGTGAAGGTTTTAGAGCATTTGATCAATTTTGTATGAAGCTCAGATTCACCATTTTGTTATTCAAAATAAGTTAACCTGCCACAGCGTCTTTTGACCTGATAGGTAAATAATGCAATTAACATGAAAAGCGTGTGCTATTGCTGATAGTTTACGACATCTTCCAAATATGCAAATAACATATTGCCTGTTGTATAAGTGAATTTATGGTTTTTTATCATTCATTTCTGTGCATATATTTTTAAACAACCACTTTATAATAGTGAAAGAGTGTTAACAGCTTTTATGATGATACCGTACTCGACCACGTTAGCGCCCAGGGTCCTCAACTCATAAAATCTGGACTTTTTAGGGGTGGGCGCTTACCCGAGCACCCCCTCGAAATAGAGTGCAACTGACAATTTTAATTCACCGTGTGACAGATTGAGAGGGATATTACATCTTTGAAAATTTTAGGGAAAATAAAATTACGAAATTAGATGCGTCGTCATTGACTCTTACAATGAATAAAGAGAAATGGTCAAATATGTACATTTTATTACAATATTAATTACATACCACCCGAATTTACGAGATTAAAAATATTTGAGTCTGTTGGAAAACAGTCAAAGTCAATATCTTCATCAATATCGCCACTGACGAATGTGTCAGTCGAATCGTACACATAGATTAAAAGCACTTTCCGCAATGATGTATTTGCATTTGACCTGCATCAACGTCCTTTGACCTAATGGGCCAAGTCTGTTATTATCCAATCAAAATGCTGTGTGGTACCGACGCATTTCTTCAAAATTAAACGACATGTTTTTTTGTTGTTAAAAATGGTAACTAGCAATTTTTATCGGTAAACTGAATATGGCATGAAATATTTACCACATTTGACTTGTATTAACAGGTCATTGTCGAAGCATAGTTTACGCACGGTTACCATGGTCAACGCATTCACAACATGTTCACGGCGGTCGATATCCACGCTGTATCATGATATAAAAGCGATTATCAGTATTCGTTTAGCAATGATCGAAGACCATGTTTTAAATTAGTGACATTTTGAAGGGGTGGGCGCTTTGCCGAATGTGACCCAGAATAAAAAAAATTTGCAAAAGTGGGGGGTGGGCGCTTGACTGGGCATGGGCGCGGTCGAGCGCGGTATATGAAATGTTTTTTTTATCATCTCACATAATAAAGTGTTTTCTATTGCACTAACATATTTTGTTTTTGTTTTTGAACAACGAAATATCGCATGTGATTGTGTTTTGATGGAAATGATTCTTTTCTGACAACAAATGTGTCACGTAATGTAATCAATGATTTGTACTCAGAAAATTACTCAGGCCAAATTTTTTAATAAAAATTTGTATTCTAAAACCCAGATCATATTTAAATGTGGCCAAAATTAGAAAGTTTTTAAGGTAAATGCTAAATTTCATTTTGGTCTGATTTTATGTAAACCCAACTCAATAAAATGTCAATGATTTTAACAGCACACATGTATGCCTCTAATAGAGCTAATATGTGTGCTTCTATTAGAGATACACTTCTAATAGAATAAATACAGTAACACCAGACAGGCTAAACAAAAATATCATGAAGCAGGTATTGGCGTGACCATATCACATTATAAGGTTCTTAGAAATAATGCTTTTCAGAAACACAATCATTATTTTCTGATTAGTATGGGAACCTGTCCTTATTATTATTACGGTATTTCATATGATGTAAATTTTACCAACAATGATGTTTATGTTCAACTTACATTGTTCTGGTTTTAATTATTTCACTGATTTTATTTAGATCTTCTCCAAACTTTTGAATTGAATCTCTAAGCATGTCTATTTCTTGTTCTGTCCATTTGCCACTGAAAGAGAATATAACACAGTCATTGTAGTGATATCTCAAACATCCTGGTAGCTTACTGATACTATTCCAAAATTTCAATATCACTGTACTGTATTCATGATTAATTTGTGTTATTTCCGTGATAACCTTGAATTATCATATGAACATGTCAACTATTCATGACCTATTGATTTACATGTAGCTGCAGCATTGGTTTTTAGTCCAACCCAACCCAACCCAATAACTAGTGTTATTTTTTGACCAGGGGCACATGCAACTTTAAATACACTTTTTGTGTTGATCACTTTGTAGTAACACATGATTATTATCAGTATTGACAATAAAACTAATGTTCCAACTTGCGACACTATGCATGTTTTCAAATCAAAGAAACCTAAGAAAGAACTTCCATGTGCTGAGAGTATTGGAGACACATTAAAAATTAATTCAAAATTACTTGTACATGAGATATTGATGGAAAAGCTGAAAACTAATTATGTAAATCAGGTAACTAATATGAACAGAACAGAACAAATGATTATGAATTATTATGCTAATTCGAGAATTAATATGAACAAATTTTAACCCAAAATTAATCAGGCCAGTCTATTGTCCTAGAGCATTTATGTACCAAATTTTATTCAAATGTGATGATCAGTAATTGAGATATCAGTGTTAATTAATTATGTTAATTAGGTGATAATAAGCACAGATATTTACCAAAAACTAATTGGGTCTCTGCATAGTTCTCTTTAAAAGTTTCATTAAAATCCAATTCGTGGCTCTTTATATATCAGTGGAACATTATGCAAATTAGGTAATTAATATCCAATGAAAACTAATCAGGTCTCTGCATAGTCCTAGAAGATCTATGTAGCAAGTCTCATTGAAATATGATGATTACGGTAGTACTTGAGATATCAGGCAAAAAGCTGAAAATTAACTAATTATGCTAATAAGGTAATTAATATGCACAAATATTTACCCCAAAACTAATCAGGGGTCTGTAACTATGTACAAAGTGTCATTGAAATGTGATTACTACTTGAAATATCAAAAGCTGAAAATTTATTAATTATGCAAATTAGGTAATTAATATGTACTGATATTACCCTAAAAACTACCAGGTCTGTGCAGTGTCCTATGACATCTACATGTATGTACCAAGTTTCATTGAAATGTGATGATTACTACTTGAAATATCAAAGGCTGAAAATTAATTAATTATGCAAATTAGGTAATTAAGATGTACTGATATTACCCTAAAAACTATCAGGTTTGTGCAGTGTCCTATGACATCTAAGTACCAAGTTTTATTGAAATGTGATGATTAGCACTTGAGATATAAGTGGAAAAGCCGAAAATTGAGTAATCATTACGCAAATTAGGTAATTAATATTGCACAGATTTTTACCCAAAACTAATCAAATCTGCGCATTAGTTTGGAGCATCTATGTGCCAAGTTTCATCAAAGTCCAATGAGTGGTTCTTTAGATATCAGTGGAACAGCTAAAAATCAGCTAATTATCATGCAAACTAGGTAATTAATATGCATGGATTTTTACCAAAACCTAATCAAATCTGCGCATTGGTCCAGAGCATCTATGCAACAAGTTTCATCAAAAATCAATATATGGTTCTTGAGATATCAGTGGAACAGACACACACACAGACAAACACACTAACTGCAAAGACTCCTTTTTTGTGCTTCGCACATGGTAGTCAAAAACACAGCCTGAAATTAAGTGATCAATCAAAGAAAGCTTAGAAAGAACTCCCGTGTGCTGAGAGTATTGGAGACACATTCAAAATTAATTCAAAATTACTTGAACTTGAGATGTTGATGGAAACGCAGAAAACTAATTATGCAAATTAGGTAACTAATATGAACAGATTTAAGTGTAAAACTAATAAGGTCTGCACAATGTAACAAGTTTCATTGAAATGTGATTAGAACCAAAATAATATTAATTATTATGCTAATTAGAGAATTAATATGAACAGATTTTAACCCAAAATTAAGCAGACTGTCTATTGTCCTAGAGCACTTATGTACCAAGTTTTATTCAAAT